GGGGGGGACACTCTCGAGCAGGACCAGACCCCAGCCCACCAGGGGTGCCACTCTCCCTCCTTCCTTCCCTCCGCACAGGCTGGTGGTTCGATGCCTGTGGGCTTTCCAACCTCAACGGAGTCTACTACCCGGCCCGGCACAACATCCGCAAGCTCAACGGCATCCGCTGGCACCACTTCCAGGGGCCCAGCTATTCCCTGAAGGGCACCCGCATGCTGATACGACCTGCCAGCTTCTAGTGCAGCACCACACACCGTGCCAGGCTGGCACGAGGGAGGGGGCTGGGGGAAGGGATGGCTGGGGGACACTGAGCCCTCCCCGCTGCTGCAGATGTTTTTTCCCAGTTACTTTTTCGCTCTTGTTTATCCCCTCCTCCAGAATCCTGCACAGCTCTGGGCCTCCAGCTCCCCATCTCACCTCCTTCACTCGGGAATGGGGGCCAAGACCCCCCTGGTATCCTCCAGGGCTTTGGGGATTTGTCTTTTCTAGATAATTTTGGGCATCGCAAAGCCCCGCTGTCCCACTTAGCCCATGGGATTAGGGGGGCTGGCAGGGATGGGGGTCCCCATGCAGCAAAGGGTGTGGGACTGGTGACATCCTGCCTTCCCATCCTGCCTGGGTACAGCCACACAGGGGCACACAGGCTCTCCCTTCCCCTGTGCATGGCCTGAACTACTGTCCCCATGCAAGGGCACTGCTCCTTACAGGATGGGGCTGGGTGTCTCCAGCCCTTGGGGTAAGTAGGAGGGAGCAGGGGGAGCTTTGGGGGATCCTGAGGAGATCATCCCCAGGTTGGGATGGTCAGTGGCCTCATGCTGGAAGGACCATGTGGGGGGGCTGCACTGGTAGGGCCAGATGGAGTGCTGGGATGGGCAGGATGGGGACTGGGGGGGTCATGGATGAGGGGGTGGTTGTGTTTGAGATGAGGCAGTGGGATGGGTTTTGGGGGGCTGTTCTTGGGGTGAATCTGAGCTGAGGCAAGGGAAGGGAGAGGAAAGAAGGGGTGCTTGATGGGGGTTAGACATGGGATGGAGGGGGGAGCCCTCTGCACCCCCAGCTCCCCTGCCCATGGTGGCACTGAGATGGCAGCAGTGGGTGCCCCTCAGATGCAACTCCCTCCTTCTGCCCTCCCCTCTTCACCCTCAGTTCGGGCTGGATTTGCTTTTATTTTTGTACTAAGAGATATTTATTTTTCCATGCCTCTGCAGGGCGGGAGTGGGTGGAGGAGTCTCTGCACCCCACTGCCCTGCAGCATCCCCATGTCACCTGTCCCTCTGGTACCCAAGACGTGGGGACTGGTGGCAGATGCCAGGGACCCACTAGCTCCATGACACCCAGACACCCTCATTTCTCCCTTCCCAAAACAGATCCCTCTCATCCCAGGCAGGGGTTTGCCAGGTGGGTGACAGAGTTGAGGAGTACCTGAGGACCCCTTCTGCCACCTAACCCCAGCCCCTTCCCCCCGTGACAGGGCCAGTACCCCAGAGTGGAGCGAGGGGCACGGGGATGTACTGTCCTCCCCGTGGGGAAGGTGGGACCTGCTGGCAGGGTGCTGGCACTGTCACCAGCTGGACAGGTGGCAGCACAGGGGCTCCTGACACCCTGCCCTGTCCCCAGGCATGTGCTCATGAACAGTGATTAAAGCCCATGACACAGTTGGCGCTTCCAGAAGATGCTCATCAAGGGCACTGTGTAAAATGATTTAAAAAATGTAAAATACAGGGTGTGTAGGGGGGTGTGCACTCCCAGCCAGCAGCACTGCAGGCACCCTCCTTGCCCATCCCTCCTCCCTGGAGATAACAGACAGGCTCAGCTGTGGCTCCATATGGAAACTGGAGCCATGGGGAGGCAACTGCCAGGGAAAGCCATCGAGACCACTGGGGTTGTCCTGCTGTCCCCAGCAGGGACACACAACGGGGGATATCACATCCCTGGGAGGACACCTGTCCCCTTGCTGCAGCTGTGCTGGGGTGTCATGCAGGCTTTTCTGTGGGTGCAGGGGCAGACAAAGACACTGCACTGGGAACATGGCTCCTCCCATCCATGCTGCTGTGTGCACACACATGTACATGGACATGTGTGCACACACATACGTGCTGATGGAAGCCCCAGTGCTGCCCTGGCAGGAAACTGTGAAGCTGATACTGAGCTGGGGAGAGGATTCCCAGGTGCTGGGATCAGGCGGCAGCAGCTCTTCTCCCTTCAAAAATGAAAACCTGCAGTCCTGGACCTTGTCCCCAGCCTGTCACCACCACTGTGCACATGGCATTTGCTAAGCAGCACCAGTGCCAGGCTCCCTGAAGGGGCCAGGGGCCAGCCACAGCTGGAGGGACACAGTGGCAGAGCCAGTAACCAAGGGTGTCCCCTGGGTGCAGGCACTGGTGGCTTTGGTGCCACCTTCCCTAGCATGGGATGCACCAGTATAGCAAGGAGCAGGGGCACCTCACTGGCACAGGCAGAGCCAGGGGCTGTGGTGCCACGAAGGCCACCTGAGGATAACACAGAGATGTTTTTAATCTTCAAAGAACTCCCAGCACCGACTTTCATCCTTGCACCTCCCCAGCCTGCCTGGGAAGTCCCCACTATTGCTGCCCCATCTCACAGCCCCCCAGGAGCTACAGCTCGGCCAAGCTCTGCAGCGCTTTGCCAGAGCGCTGGGAGGGCGGGAGGGCTGGCAGGGTGCTGGCTGCAGC